ATTAACTACACATTGAAGAGGTTTCTTATCTTATTGTACAGCAGGCCTTAGTCCACCAGGTATAACTAAGGTGACACCAAATTATCCTCTTTGAGGTAGCTTCCATCACCCAGTAACTGGCACACAAAGCATGATTCCTCGTCTTGACCTGTCAAAAGGGCGCTAGCTGTGAAGCCAGAATCCTAATATATGACAGCTATATCAGGGAAAACACTGTACAAGGAACCATAAAGACTTAGGTTTAATTACCTTTAGTATGAGGCGATCTCGTGATCTAACCGACAAACCCTTTCTAATGACATTAATGGCCACAAATGATAGATAAATGGGTTTCGGCAGAACACTTAACTTGTATTTGTTGACAGCGTGTTGATGATGGTACACCTTTGGTTTCCATAACACTTCGTCCAAGTAAAATTAACAGGAGCCGTATTTGCTCCCGTGAGCCTCTGTGGTCTAAGTACAATAACAATGGCTGACACTCCATACTACTGACGCTACTGGCCGACATTGTCCAGATATGATAGGAGCCGAATTTGCTCCACGCGTCTCGGAGGTGACAACAACAATGGCTGACCACCCCTCCTCACTCACTCTACTGGCCTACATTGTCCAGATGACAGTAAGTGATAGAAGGGTCACATTTACTCTATTTTAATTCTGATAATTAAGTTAATTTATATGAGATGTTTTTATGATGGTAAAGTCCAAAGACTAATGTATTTAAGAATAATTCCCACCATAATAGGTGGTGAATTTATAATAGTATGTGGTAATGATATCCCGTTTTCTATAGACGGAAATTCCACTACAAGCTACATTTTCTATGGGTAACTTGTTTATACAACACAGCAATATTATCTGTCAGTATGATATTATTAAATGGTGTCGGATTTTCCGACAACCACACAATCACTACCATCACTACCACAACCCCCACAACCACCACTACCAGCAGTACCACACCAACACTACCACCATTACCACCACGACCACCACTACCACAAACACCACCACTACCACACACCACAACTGCCACACCACCTTAGCTGCTTTGCTAGCAAAGCAGCTAAGTAAAAGAAGGTGGAGAAACTATAGAAACAACAGAACACTAGAGAGCAGAGAAAGATACCAGAGCGCCAGGAATGAACACGTCAGGGTGAGAAGAGAGGTAGAGAGGCAATATGAAAATGACATAGCGAACAAGGCAAAGACTCAACCCAAACTGCTGCATAACCACATCAGGTGGAAAACAACAGTGAAGGAACAGGTAATGAAACTGAAGATAGTGGCAGAAAGATTCAGATTCACTACAAACGACAAGGAAGTGTGAGAGGAACTCGATAAGAAATTCCAGGAATTCTTCACACCAGAGCAAGGAGTAGTCCCAGAGATAAGAGAGGGAACATCAAAGCAGACACCACTAGAGGCGTTTGTGATTACCAGTGGGGAGGTGATGAAGCATCTGCTAGATTTGGACGTGACAAAGGCTAAAAGCTCGGATGGAATCACACCATGGATTCTAAAGGAAGGAGTAGAAGCTCTGTGCCTACCACTCTCCATGGTGTACACCAAGTTACTGGTAACATGTGAGCTGCCAAAAATTTGGAAGATGGCCAATTAGCCCCAATATACAAGAAGGGTGATAGGCAGGAGGCACTGAACTACAGGCCAGTGTCCCTAACTTGCATTCCATGCAAGATGATGAAAAAGATTGTGCGAAAAAAGCTAGTGGAACATCTAGAGCGGAAGAACTTTGTAACACAACATCAGCATGGGTTCAGAGATGGTAAATAATGCCTAACAGGATTAATTGAGTTCTATGACCAGGCAAGAGAGAGAGGGTTGGGCAAACTACATATATCTGGACTGCCAGAAAGCTTTTGACACAGTACCACATAAGAGAGTGCACAAACTGGAGATGCAGGCAGGAGTGAACGGGAAGGTACTCCACTGGATAAGAGAGCACCTAAGCAACAGGACACAGCGAGTCACCGTGAGGGGTGAGGTCTCTGAGTGGCGGGAAGTCACCAGTGGAGTCCCACAGGGATCAGTCCTTGGACCTATACTGTTTCTGATGTACGTAAATGATCTCCCAGAAGGAATTGACTCGTTCCTCTCGATGTTTGCTGATGATGCAAAAATAATAAGGAGGATCAGGACAGAAGAGGATAGTACGAGGCTACAAGATGACTTAGACAAACTGAAGAAATGGTCCGACAAATACCATCACTACAGCACCACCACTAACTGCACTACCATTCCATCACTACCTGTATTATCACACCACCACTACTATACAACCACTACCATCACTACAACATCACCACCAATATCACCAGGAAAGTGTAAGGTGATGAAATTAGGCGAAGGGAGCAGGAGGCTGAACACAAGGTATCATCTGGGAGGGGAAATCCTGCAAGAATCAAATAGAGAGAAGGATCTGGGGGTTGATATCACACCGAACCTGTCCCCAGAGGCCCACATCAAAAGAATATCATCAGCGGCATATCCTAGACTGGCCAACATAAGAACTGCCTTCAGAAACTTGTGTAAGGAATCTCTCAGAACTCTGTATACTACTTATGTAAGACCAATCCTGGATTATGCAGCTCCAGCCTGGAGTCCATACCTAGTTAAACACAAGACAAAGTTAGAGAAGATTCAGCGGTATGACACCAGGCTCGTCCCGGAACTGAGAGGATTGAGCTACGAGGAAAGGCTAAAGGAGCTGAACCTCACATCCCTGGAAAACAGAAGAGTAAGGGGAGACATGATAACCACCTACAAAATTCTCAGGGGAATTGACAGGGTGGATAAAGACAAATTCTTCAGCACGGGTGGGACACGAACAAGGGGACACAGGTGGAAACTTAGTACCCAGATGAGCCAGAGAGACGTTAGAAAGATTTTTTTCAGTGTCAGAGTAGTTAATAAATGGAATGCACTAGGAAGTGATGTGGTGGAAGCTGACTCCATACACAGTTTCAAATGTAGATTTGATAGAGCCCAGTAGGCTCAGGAATCTGTACACTAGTTGATTGACAGTTGAGAGGCGGGACCAAAGAGCCAAAGCTCAACCCCCGCAAGCACAATTAGGCGAGTACCACCACCTACACTACCACGTCCTACCATTGCCAACACCACCACTACCATAGTACCATTACCACCTTTATCACCACTACCACACCACCATTACCACCACTACCACACTGCCACACCACCACAACCACACCACCACCACTACCACACAACCGCTACCACCACAACCACACCTCCACTACCACCACAACCACACCTCCACTACCACCACAACCAGGCTCACCACCACTACTACCACTACCACACACACCACAACCCCATACACCACAACTACACACACCACAATCACACACACCAATGCCGCACCACCATTACCACACCACAACACCACCACCACTACCACCACCACTACCACATCACCACCACTACCACCACCACACTAATAGTATTACCACACACCACCTTTACCATCACTACCACACCACTACGACACCACCACTACCTCACCACCTCTACTATCACTACCACACCACCTCTTCCACCACTACCAAAACCACACAATCACTACCACCATTACCACACTACCACACCAACATACCACCACTATCATACCACCAATACCTCTAACACCACTGCAAGACTACTACCACACCAAATCTTACACTACTACCACACCACCACTACCACACCACTACTACTACTCAATCACTACCACCACTACCACACGGCTACTATCACCACTACCACACCACCACCACTACCATACTACCACTACCACCACCATCATACTACTACTATTATCACACTACCTCTGCTATCACTACCACTACATCTTTATCACTACAACACCACTACACCACAACTACCACCACTACCTCACCACCATTACAACACCACTTCCACACCACCTCTTCCACCACTACCACACAATGCCTACCACCATTATCACACTACCACACCACCACTACCATACCACCACTACCACAACACTACAATACCATCATTACCACTACAACACCACTACCACATCACCTATTCCACCGCTACTACACTACCACCACACAATCACTACCACACCACCACTATCACAAACTACCACAGCACCATTACCACACAACCACTACCACCAATTCCACACAATCACTACCCCACTACCATACCACCATTAGCACACCACCAGTACCACCACTACCAAACCACCACTGCAACACCACCACTGCCACTACCAGACCATAACTACCACACCACCACTACCATACACTACCACACCACCATTACCACACAATCACTTCCACACAGTCACTACCATACCATCCCTACCATACCACCACCACACCACCACCACAACCACACATTACCACACTACCATTAACACACTACCACTACCACCACCACTACTACACCACCACACACAACTAGTACACCACTACTACACAACACGCCACAGCTAGTACACCACTACTACACAACACACCACAAATATTACACCACTACTACCACACCACACCTAGTACACCACAACTAGTACACCACTATTACCACACCACAATTTTTTTTATTTTTACATGCAAGCATGCGAAGAAAGACAATAAATACCATAGAATCAATATAAGCCTAGAACAAAACAGCAACACAAAATCACAAATCACAAACTCACAAAGTACAAAAGAACAAAGGTACACAAAACACCGGCCTGAAGGGCCGACCACAAAAACAACCACTCAATATAAACAAAGGGAAGGAGAGCATAATCGCAATACAGAAAACATATACACAATATATAATACATAAAAAACACCGGAGCACGCAGAAACTGGGAAAACAAACCCGCCCCACCAACACAAACACACACAACCCGCACCTCACAACCATGCTCACAAACGGAAAACATCCCACAACATACAGCCAAACAAAGGAATCAAGGATCATACTTCTCAGGGAACTTATCCCAAGGATACCTTTTCTTATAGGCCTCCCAAATCAAATATTCCATGTCAGTAGGGAGTCGATCCCCCTTCTGGTGTGGGGCCTGCATAAACTCAGGAATCACCAAATCAGGCAGAAACGGCCACTCCCGAAGTTCACTGTCGCAAGTCGCATAACGAGGCAGGGGATCACGAAACACCCCTCCTTGGAAGCAGAAGACACTGAAGAAGCGTACGTAGGTCGGCGAGACGGCCATGCCGCCGAATGCACAGGAGAAGAAGGTGACGGTTGACGTGATGGTAACACCTCCACCGGTACCGCAGGAGCTACAGAAGAGACGGCTTGAGATGGAAGAGGCGACAAGATCACCGCCAACGAAACAAGGAACGAGGAAGGGGGCACGGACCCCCCTAGAGTGAGCAGCCTTTTACAAGACCCCCACCAGGTCACCATGCTCACCACGAACCTCAGCAAGGGGAACCACCTCCCATGAAGAACCGGAACTATCCCACACAGGCGACGCCCCCGAACGAGGACCTGCAAACACCCCACCAGCAGCTGAGGCCGAAACACCGACACCGGCATCCAGAGGCAAATGCACCTCCGCCACCACCATAGATTGCAACGCAACCGAAGCCATCCCGCCATCGCCGGAAGATCCACAGTCATCGAACTCGCCAACATCAGCCCATGCAGCAGAAGAACGACGGGAATGCTTGGGCTCCGGCCGTACATCATCAGAGCCGGAGGAGGACCCTGAAACACGGGCCCCACAAGCCGGGCGGATCGACGCATGACACAAGGCGGTAGCAGCCTCAACCACGGGGGAAACCGGGCCGCACACAGCAGGAGGCGCGTTCCCCACCCCACCACCCATCACAGTCGGGACACAAGTCGAGGGCACAGGGCCATGCGCAGAAGCAGGAAACTTCTGCTTCTGTGGAAGAAGAAGCAGCAGCTTTTGTGAAAGAAAATCAGCAGAAGCTGATTGCCAGAAGACTCTCGGGAGCAGCCGGAACATCGACCGGAGCAAGAAGAACCGCCGACGGCGTCACAACACCCGGAGGAGGGTCCACAACATCCGGAGGCGTGCTTGGAGACGCAGGGAAAGCCTCAGCAACGATCGGGACGTCCAGCTCCTCACCCCCGGAGTCCTCCTCCACAGGGAGCCGCAGGAAATCCTCTTCCTTGAACATGTTCACGGGAGCAGTCGCAGCCTCAGTGCACCCAGCAGCCTGATGCCCCAACAGGACACAACGAAAACATGTCCGTGGTTGCCGGGCATAGTACACCCGTACCTAGTACCCTAAAACCTGGACAGAAGATGGAAAGTCAGACCTCAGGCGCATCCCTAGGGTACGAATATTATTCCTCATACCCGTAAACTTGCTAGAAGACAGCGTGTGCATCCGCACACTAACGACAGTGCCAAACCACTGGAAGAAACGACGGAGGAGCGTCTCGGGAAACTCCATGGGGGCCCCATGGACACTCACATACGTCATGGCACCGCTACGATCCGTAATGGACACAGATCTGGTGCCATCCTGCAGCTGCAAGGTATGTCCCTTGTATCTCCGGAGAAAGTCACGGTACACTGCTTCTCCCACAAACTTTATAACTACACGATAAGCAGTTACCAGCTCAACACCGTAGATGTCCATTACCGGGATTTGGAGCATGTCACACATGACAAGCTCCACTACAGAGTACCCTGCATGACCAGTAAACTCCAATCCCACAGAGTTGACCCTCACAACAGGGGGAAGATGGCCGCCCATCGCAAAGGCGCCAAATCCACACCAACCAGGAGGGAACAGCAGGGAGGGTAGAGACACCCACACTCCCAAACTAGCAGAGAGGTCAGGCAACACGTCAGCACCTCACGGCTGCTAGACCGCAACTCACCACACTACAACTAGTACACCACAACTAATACACCACTACTACCACACCACAATTAGTACACTACTACTAGCACACCACAAATAGTACACCAAAACTAGCACATCACTACTACCACACCACAATTAGTACACTACTACTACCACACCACAACTAGTACACCACTACTACCACACCACAACTAGTACACCACTACTACCACACCACAACTAGTACACCACTACTACCACACCACAACTAGTACACCACTATTACAACACCACTACTACCACACCACAACTAGTACACCACTACTACCACACCACAACTAGTACACCACTACTACCACACCACAACTAGTACACCACTACTACCACACCACCACTAGTACACCATTACTACAGTATTCTCAAGGGAATTGACAGGGTTGATAAAGACAGGCTGTTTAACACAAGGGGCACACGCACTAGGGGACACAGGTGGAAACTGAGTGCCCAAATGAGCCACAGAGATATTAGAAAGAACTTTTTTAGTGTCAGAGTGGTTGACAAATGGAATGCATAAGTGATGTGGTGGAGGCTGACTCCATACACAGTTTCAAGTGTAGATATGATAGAGCCCAATAGGCTCAGGATCCTGTATACCTTTTGATTGACAGTTGAGAGGCGGGACCAAAGAGCCAGAGCTCAACCTCCTGCAAGCACAACTAGGTGAGTACAACTAGGTGAGTACATCACAACTAGTACACCACTACTACCACACCACAACTAGTACACCACTACTACCACACCACAACTAGTACACCACTACTACCACACCACAACTAGTACACCACTACTACCACACCACAACTAGTACACCACTACTACCACATCACAACCAGTACACCACTACTACCACATCACAACCAGTACACCACTACTACCACATCACAACTAGTACACCACTACTACCACACCACAACTAGTACACCACTACTACCACACCACAACTAGTACACCACTACTACCACATCACAACTAGTACACCACTACTACCACATCACAACTATTACACCACTACTACTACATCACAACTAGTACACCACTACTACCACATCACAACTAGTACACCACTACTACCACACCACAACTAGTACACCACTACTACCACACCACAACTAGTACACCACTACTACCACACCACAACTAGTACACCACTACTACCACACCACAACTAGTACACCACTACTACCACACCACAACTAGTACACCACTACTACCACACCACAACTAGTACACCACTACTACCACATCACAACTAGTACACCACTACTACCACATCACAACTAGTACATCACTACTACCACTCCACAACCAGTGCACGTCATCTAGTACACCATTACTACCACACCACAACTTTTATTTTTTTTTATTTTTATAAATTACACAAATACAAGAACACACAAAACAACGAAAATCTGTACACATCCAGTATACCAATGAAGGTACAGTACACAGGAATAAACAGTCTGTACACTAAACAATAACAGTAATCGCAAAACAAACACAAGCGCTGAACAAAATAAAAACGCATTGAATCAATTGGCTAAACAGTACAGGGAAATAAGTGCTAAAACAGTACATGGAAACAACAGGCTAAACAGTTCATATCTACATAGCAACACAGAACATGGCAAAGAAAATTACATGAAAAATAAAGAAAACAATAAAGTACATAAATAACATTTAAACACACCTGGAACCAATAACATAAAACATACAGAGACGTGGATATAGAATCACGTGCACAAAACCACGCCTACCACACACACAGAACAAAGGAGCATAGGACCATACACGCGCTACCCAGGAAAATGACATACACTAAATGAGAAGAAATTATGTACACACACCCTAAACAACAAGACAAACACACTCATACCACCCACACCACAACGGCACACCACAGCACCCAAGCACGCAAAATAATGGGTCACAGGCCAAAGCAGAATACGGCCACAAAAAGAACAGTAGAAAACAGTACAGCAGAAAACCCAGGCCCACGCAGGAGCCAAAACCCCCTTCAAAACCACACACCCACACGCATACGGACACAACCGGCACCCGGAGGTACGGAAACACACCACACACACACAGGAGCAGCAGCATCTCAATGGGGGAGACACACAATCACACGCAACCCCCGCCAAGGACACACAAAGAAGCGGAAAGGGAGCGCATAGCAAAGCAAACCCCGAAACCCCCCAACCCCACTAAACCCACATCGACACCCCAACCCCACCCAAGACGAGAACATTACCTTCCCACCAAGGCACCTACCGACCCAAAGGCATCCCCACGAACATAGGCAACTGTGAACCACCGACCAAACTCCTCTGGAAAAGCGCGCTGCAACCACCACCAGGTAAACCGCATGCGCCCCTGCAAAAATCCTAAAATTCGGGCAACCCCAAAACCCTCCCGCCTCCCAACCCACACACAAAACACATAATCAGCAACCAAAACACATAATGTATTACGCACCCGCTGCGAATAAGCCGGAAAATACAAAAACAAAAACTGCAAAACATCACCCCGACAACCCGGACCACAAAACACCTCCAGAACATCCTGAAACCAGTCCACCAACCCCTGTAACCGGACACAAAAATAAAATACATGCACCTGCGATTCACTTAAACCACAATGAACACACGCCCCAGAATCACGCAAGCCAAGCATACACAACCGCTCATTTGTCGCCAGCGACAAATGCAGAACCCGAAACAGCAATTCACGCTGCTGAGGCGCCAAGAACCGTGCCCCCAAACACGACCAGATACCACCCCAATCCCAACACGGGAATAAGCCCTCCACTCGAGGCCGCACCCGGGGCAACAACACCCTATACACAGCCTTGCACGAGAAGGACAGAAACCCAGGATGGCGGCAGAGCTCCCGAAGAATCCCCACGGCCCAAGAATAAACGGGGGGAGTAAACAAGGCCACCTCCTGACAAACCCCCAAATCAACCAAAAAACTGAAGCGATGCGAGCAGAAAAAAACACCCAGCGTATTCAACCCCCCACCGAGAACCAGCCCCTGACGCAACGAGACCCAGAAGAGGGCATTGGCCTTCGTGAAGACGTCAGGAATGCCAACACCCCCTCTCTCGCCCCTAACACCAACGTCGAACGGCGCACCGGTTGATAACGCCCACACCATACATATCTGTACACCACACTCTCCAAACTCAAGGCCTTCCGACGATCCAACGGGAAACATCGAGCCACAAACCAGACACGCGACAAGACCTTACACGCAACAAGCAGTCCCCTCTGATAAATCGTCAAAGGACGATGCGACAAAAGGCCAACCGCAACACCAACCG